AGAATTAATGAGAACTAAAGTTCTTAGCACACAACAAGAATAAAGTAGGTACAACTTATGATTAGCCATGGCGGGTGCGTGAGTGCAGAGCCGAAGACTCCCAGGAGAGATCTCTCTGCAGCACTGCTAGGAACACTGAGGCACTGCACCCCCGGGCCCTCCTGTCCAGGGCACAGCGTTTACCAGAGCAGTCTAAGGGGCTAGACAGTCTAGAAAATGTACTGGACAAAGAGGGTCTGGCTGCCTGTCACTGTCAGCCAATATGCAGAGCTAGGGATAGGTCTACCAAACTTTGTCAAAAGGCTGGCAATTCTGGAGAACAGTGAGGGTAGCCTCTCCAAGACTGACTGTTCTGTTCTTCCCTTTCCATAACCACAGTTTTATATATAATGGTTCACAGCAAAGACCACAACAATCTTTATTTTAAATAATAATCAGTACAACTCAGTGACAATCTATTACAACATTTCCAACTCAAAAGTTAATTCTGTAAAGTATTCAAGATGGGCATCTTTAGGGTGGGAACTAAATTTATAAAACAGGAATGAGAGACAAGAAGTGAAGGTAAGTAGGGCCTACAAGGCGCAGACCAGCTGTGTCATGTCCACTCTGTCCTGAGTGACTCCTTCTTATTCTCACTATCTGGTGCTTTAAATTCCCCGCCTCCCATTCTCAGCTTAATGAAGTTACTAGGCTTGAAGTGGTAAAGTGACAACTTCAATCTGATCTTTGCCCAATGTCCCCTCATTCAACTAAGAGACTTTTATCCCTGACTTGTTTTTAACCTTCTAATACTTTTCCTTAATGTTTGGGATGTAGAAACAGATGGCTTTTTTTTAACAAGGTAAGGTGCTGAGTTTGTGGACCTCATCTCTTTCACTTCTACCTTAAGCCCAGCTAATTTTTTTCTCCCTGTCTTGTCATACGTTTACAAATGAAGACAAAAACAACCACCATACCGCTGATGTATATTTTTCAAACTTTCTCCCTTGGAGCCACAATTCCAGCAGACAGGACCAGACCACTTTTCTACTCTGTAACATGAATCTCCACCTTTTCGAGCTGCGATATCAGCTTCCTCCCTGTCTGCTGCTGAATGTCTAGTCAGGGCTGCACATTTCAGGTTGTGAATGGCACTGGATGATCGTGGCAATCATTTCTCTATTAACTAAGGTTAAGCTGGGCTTCAAACTCCAGGCGCTTAACACAACAAATGTTTAATTCTGTCTCCTGTCACAGTTGAAGCTAGGCTAGGTGGCTGTCTTCTGAGCAGTGACCAGTGATTGGGGATGTGGGTTGTGTCTACCTTGAAAATGAGTGTTATAGGGAACACGTTGCCTGAAAAGGATTTGGCGGTGTAACCAGAGACAAGACCGGGAGAGGTTCAGGCCAAGTTTAATGAAAGGGGACTGAGACCTGCCTGGACAAAGATGGCGGCTGCACCCAGAGCAAGTGAGGCCTTGTTTTTATACTGGGTGTAGGGGGAGGGAGATTGCACAGGTTGCTGGAAGGCTTTGGTGGGCAGGAGTCTTTCTAGAGGTACTCTTGGGGCAAGCCCAGGCAGGCCTCTTGTTCTGGTAGGGGAGGTGGAGGAAGGGGTTAGGTCCCTAACAATGTCCCCAGGGTCACCAGAGCGGAGAAAGAGAGGGCTGGAAGTATGGGTTGTTTACAGGGCCTGTAGGGATCATGGTGAAACCTGCCTTTTTACTTTTGGTTGGTTCGTTGAAAGATCAACTCACAATTATGGTAGATTAATAAGAGAAAGATTTATTTCCAAATACCCTGCTCCTGGGGGGAATCACTAAGATGCTTTCCCAAAGTCTCAGTGCTGGTCAGAGACTTTTGAAGATGCCTTTTCAAAGGGAGGGGGGAGAGTGCAGAAAGCATACCTGCAGCAGGTGGTTGCTGGGGGGAGTGTGTGTAGATGGGTGGAAACAGATTGAATTATAGATTTACCTGAGAGACAGTTCTCATGCTTCAAATGACCTTATGGCCAGGTTATTCGTATGCACTAAGGAAGTCAGCAGCCCCTTCTGATTCTAAATCAGGTTACTCGGGTTTTATAGAGGACAGGCCAGTGCTTTCTGGTCATGAATGGCCTTTCATTCAAAATATTCTTTATACCAAGGAATCATATTTGGGGGTGAAATTTCCTTAGCTCCCTCAGGGCCAAGGTCTGAAAGTGGCTTACATCATTTTGTGCTCACCCAATTGGTTAGAATTCCATCACGTGGACCCCAGCAATTCAGGTTTGAGTCTTGTGGGCTGTGGAGCGTAGAAGAGGCTATGCGTAGCCGGTGGGCATTTATAGTCTCTGCTGCTTCAAGGATGGTGCATGTCCCACAGCCCAATCCAGGAGGTAGGAAAGTTCCAGCAAAAGACACCCTTTGTGGCAAAGTCAGAGCTCACAGGCCAAGCCCAGAGACTACACTGATCTGAAAAAGAGAAGATTAGGGACCCTCAAAGTGTATCCATCCTTGGTCCCCAGACATGGCTGAGAACTAGCTAAAAAGGTGAAAGGTCACCTTCCCTACCCAACACTCCATAGCAAACTCTTTGGTGTTGGTACCTGGAAATGTGTGTTTTTATTGTTATTGGTGTCCAACTGATGTTGATGCCAGTCTGAGAGCCCTTGATTTACTGCAGACCTCTGTTACGGAAGCCTCGCCAGGCAAAGTAACTTGCCCAAGGCACACAAATGGTCTAACCAGTTACTAGGTTACTAGGCACACAAATGGTCTAACCAGTCTAACCTATGAATCACAATGAACTTGATGCCCTGTTATGAATCAACCTCTGTTCCTAGTCATGGTTTGGGATTTCTTTCTAATTCTCTGTTTCCCAAGAGGATACAAGGTCCCAAGCCTGCATGAAGACAGATGGATTCAGAATTCCTTGAAAGTGAAAAGATAGGCTTGGCAAAGCTGGTTTAAGCAGATTCTCCTGGCATTGGGCACACAGAGCCCTTTGCTCCTTGCCTGTCCTACTATCTGACACTGTGCTTAGTATTTGCCTGTGCTGGGCAGCTTGCTCTGTTTCACTGGGCTGCAGCATCTATCCAACTCCTCCTGGTCATTCTCTCCTCAAATTTAAGAACGCGCTCCTTACTGGTGTGTAAAATTAAATAATTCTAACTTAGACTTGGTGCCTATGGCTTAGTGGTTAGGGTGCCAGCCACATACACCAGAGCTGGCCAGTTTGAACCCAGCCCCAGCCAGCTAAACAACAATGGCAACTACAACAAAAAATAGCCAGGCGATGTGACAGGCACCTGTAGTCCCAAATACTTGGGAAGCTGAGGCAAGAGAATTGCTTAAGCCTAAGAGTTGGAGGTTGCTGTGAGCTGTGACACTGTAGCACTCTACTGAGGGCAGCAGAGTGAGACTCTGTCTCACAATAAAATAAAATAAAATAATTCAAACTTAAAGCCGTTGGAGTTTTAAATTATGCTGAGCCTTTTGAGGAATGTGGTTGTTGCAACCTGAGTTGGCTGCACGTAGCTGCAACTTCTGCCCCCCCCTTTAAAATAAACAATTAAGAAGACCAAGTAGCATTAGAGATAAGACCCCCTCAGATCACTACTTCTTCTGAAGTAGCAAAGTGATCTTCCTTGGAACGTAGCAATCTGTAAGCAAGCAAATCTGCTGTGGCATATATACCTGTCTTGCATGGAAAATGTTATATTCGTAATCCTACTGGGACTTCTCTGTCTTTGCCTGTATGATTGAGATCTTAACTTTGCTACTTTGGAAACACAGACTCCAAATAAATAGACTCCATTTGTTTGGAGTATAGTATGTGTTTCCCAAGTGTCTACCCTCAAGCTTTGTACTTGAGTAAGTCTACATGTACTCATATTTTCTGAATCTCCTTAGCTAGGGTTGACACTGGTGCTTGGGGTGAGGACTGGTGGGCTGGAGAAGAGGTAGAGAGTGTTATTGGACCTGGCCCGGCATTAATGTGGCAGTGAATGGCCACCAATACATTGCTTGCTGCTAAGGTGCCTGACACCTTGAGATTTTAAGGTGGGCTTTGGTGGGAATCCTGTTTCCAGGAAGCTCAGCTGGAAGGCATGAGGTTTTGTCAACACCCTCTATTGGGTTCAGGACCCTCATCTTCCCCACTCCCCCACAGCCTATAGAGATGGAAATTTTCTGAGACACATGGTTTCCAGATGTGGATGGGAAGCTTCAAGGTCATCTGTCGGTCTCCTACTTGATTTCTCAATGTAGATGATGTTTGTATTATTCTGGATTAGAGGAAGGATTAAAAGGGGAAAACCGTCTGGTCACAGGACTAGTGTAATAGAGAAGGGGAGAGAGTTTGGGGCAGGGCGTGGGATGGTGAGAAAAAGACTTTGGAAAGGAAGAAAGGTGTTTGAAGAAGTGGCTGAAGCTGATGGCAGACCTGGAGCTTGCTGCTGGCTCAGCCTGGCCCTGGGCTGTCCGTCCATCAATGGCACAGAGGCAAGTTCGGGTTCGGATGGGCCCTGGACCCTGGGCCCATCATGCTCATTCCTCCACATGAAAGCCCACCCTTTGCAGCCATGCCCTGTTCCCTGTCACCCTGTAAACCTCCACCCCAGCTTTATTTTATCCTTTCAACAAAACATCAGAGTCAGGGGGTATAGAAAAAACCAATTTTATGTAAAAATTCAAAATTCATACATTAATTCTATAATAACATTATGGCTTCATAAAGACATCTCTTGCTAACATTTAAAAAAAAATCTTTACATTGATTCTTCCAAGGAATCAATACCTTCATAGTATCTGAGGTAGAGAGGGGCGTCGCACCCCAGTGTTTACAGGCCTGAGGCGACTTGATGTGTCCAAGGCTTTACATTGAAAACCCACCAAAATCCATGACAGATTAAATATTAACTTAAAATACCATTTAAGAAAAGCTATGTTGCACATTATTACACAACATTCATAATCCTTAGAATAATAAACTAATATCAGAACAACGCTCAGAAAAAATAGACTAATTATGTCTCAAGTCTTGGCTTGGTTTCAGGTCATGTGTAAGTGTTCAAAGCTTTGGATGTAGTGTTTGCTTGTCCAGGTGCACTATAGAATCCTGGACCCACTTCTGCTTGGGATCAGCACACAACTCCTTGCTCAGTTTCGTCGTGAAGCTGTGGGGGAAGGGAGCACAGTTAGATGGAGCATCTGGGGGTATAACCTGCTCCAGTTTTGTGGGAAGCCTGCCTGGCCCATTAGCCCGGAGGAGGACAATGACAGGGAGATGACAAGATAGAGGACAGAGCCTCAGGGAGACGGCTGCTTTTGCTGGCTCAACTGAAGCCTCCTTGGATGCTGGATAAAGGAACTGAGATCAGAACCATCGGCTGGAAAGGGAGCTAGTATTGGAAGGCACTTTGTTTTCTTGAATTCCGTTTTACCATTGGAAAACTTCTAGGATTGAGTTTAGAGGTGATCTCAGCACCTGAGTGCTGGATCTAGCTCATTCTGGTACCAGCCCTATTCACTGCCCCCAGGGAAGAACTAGGGACTGAGGGTCAAGGTTGGGAGGTCAGGGGCCCACTCACATCACAGCTTCCATGGGGCACAGGCTGTTGGTGATTCTTCTGTAGCTTCTCAGCCTCTGGTTTGGGATCTTCTTATAGGTGAACTTGTAGCAGCAGGTCGCTGAGGTATTGACCCCATCTGGAATGAAACAATGACAAGGAAAGGCTTTTGAGGGTGTGTTCGGGGTCTTTCTATTTGGGAAGTAGGAAATGGTTAGAAGAGGTCAGAGAAAAAGCTGCCCACCCGTGTTCAATGTCTCTGCCTTTTGAGGTGTTCCTTAAACTCCCTGTAGCTTTCATAGACTATGAAATAGGAATGCACCACCAAGGAAACAGGAGGAAGAGAGATGAGAAAATGCTACTCGGGGAGGCCCAGAAAATGTCGCTCTGGATGGCCTGAGTTCATGAGTTCAAGATCAGCCTGACCCAGAGTGAGATCTCGTCTCTTAAACTAGCCGGGCGCTGTGGCAGGCGCCTGTCGTCCCAGCTACTTGGGAGGCTGAGGCAAGAGAATCTCTTGAGCCCAAGAGTTTGGGGTTGCTGTGAGCTGTGATGCCACAGCACTCTATCGGGGCCAATAAAGTGAGACTCTGTCTCAAAAAAAAAAAAAAGAAAGAAAGAAAGAAAGAAAAAGAAAAATGTTAGGCATTGATAGAAAGGGCTAATAAAATAATACAACTCCTTGGAGCAAGGGGAACCCACTATGGGTCCCCTTTTAAGCTCTGAGGAAGCAATCTCTGTCTGGTTGTAAGTTTCCCCATACACACTGCCTCTGCAGAGCTTCTGTCTCTGGAAGTTGGGCTGAATAAAGCACAGACCAGGTTCTGGGGTCCTCCCCTCTGCCTCCTACCCTATGTCTGGAAACAGCCTAAATTCTCACCCCCAGGAGTCCCATCTGTTTGCTCACTCTGGTCCCCAAACTCTGCTGGAAGCAGGTGGAGCGGTAACTGCACTGAGGCTGTTCCCAGGGCTGGAGTCCTGGGAGGAGCTGGAATGGGGTCCACAGGGGGTCTTCTAGCTCAGGCTCAGCCCAGGAGCAGAGCTGTGAGACCGGACTCAGTCCTTGCCCTTCTCTGAGTTGCCTTATCTTGGAAAAGCAGCTGTGGAAGCGAGACTGTGGGTGCCCCTTCTACTAGGAGGGGCTATGATCACCCAGAGGGGGTCCTTGTGCTCCAAGGGGAAAGAACAGGGGCCTCACCTGGTTGAGCAAGGCCCCGGGGGCTGAGGGCGGCTAGTGCCAGCAGCAGGCACAGGAGGGCTGCAGAGACCTTCATGCTGGAGGGCGCGAGGCAAGCGGGGTGCGAGCTGCTGGCTGAGCTGAAATCAGCGCAAGAGAGAGAGAGCGCGCCCTGGAGGTTTTCAGGTTGGTCTCAGCCTCTCTGCTCCGCCGGCTCCTCCGGTGCTGCCTTTTATAGCCAGAGGGGCGGGGCTCGACGCCTTTGTTATTCTGAATGAATCACAGCGTGTTGTAATTCCTGAGCCGGTGTCTTTCTCGAGGTTAAGGGGAAGATGATGTTTCGAAAGTGTAAAAGGAAAGTTTGAGTAAGGCTGCTTTCCTTTTCAGAGAATATGGGGATAAGCCCAGGCAGACACAGTATGTGGCCCATGGCTGTTATTAAGAGCTCAGTTTTTGTGAAACGAAACTTATTCTGTAGAAAAAGGAAGGAAGCAGGTAAGCCAAGGTCAAGGAGCTGGGAGTGATTCCCCCCCTTTTACCTTTCTGGCAGAACCCCTGGGACCCCAGAGTCCACAAAGAGACATTGAAACTTTGGCTGGACCCTACAATGGACTCAAATGATTATTCACTATCTTAACAGCAAACTAGAAGACTGTGTTCTTAAAATAACAGAACTTCAAGTTGTCGTGTCTATTCTGCATAACAACCTTCTGGAGAGGTGACTTAAGATAGTAACAATCATTTATTTTGCTCTTGAGTATTAAGGTCAATTGGCCTCAGCGGGTAGTGCTTGCTCAGGGTCCTTCATATGTTCGCAGTTAGATGGCGGTTAAGACTGGAGTCCTTGGGAGGGCTTCATACCGGGTGTGGGGTTTGGGCTGTGAGTATAAACAGCGGGCAGTTGGGCTAGATGGAGCTCCCTGGGCCCCTCTCTCTTTCTCTCTCTCCCTTCTCCACCACAAATATTTAAACCTCCACCTGGCTAAATATTTTTACTTGATGGCTTAAGGATCCCAGGTGCAAGGCTAAGGGCAGTATCTCTTAATGGTAGGAGTGTAAAAGAATTTGCAGAGACGTTTTAAAACCACTCTCTGTTTCATGGACTCTCAAACCTGCATGGCATGTAAAGATCTTAGGATGCTGGGCTTTTAAAAAAATACCTGATTAGCTATGAAAATTTTCTTTTTCAAGGAAAAGAATATATGGAAGCCAAATTAATTCACAAAATCAGAATAAGCTCAGTGTGAAGCAGAGATGAGAGACTTCCTGTCTCCCTCTCAAGGAAACAAAGAATACATTTTAGAGACCCCTAGTCTGGTTTTCCATATCACACACTCACGTTACAAGATCACCAACTAATGGATGATGATATTAATGACAAGGGGTTTAATGAGAGGCCAGCGGTTTCTATTGTGGGGTGAAATTTTCTTGGCGCCTTCACAACCTGCTTCCTACCTCCTTATCTGTGGAGTCTTCCCAGCCCACTCTGATGCAACATGTTACAACAGCGAACTTTCTAACCCGATGTGTATGTTCCATCTACCTGGTGCTTCTAAGAAGCAGAACTCTTCCCTTTGAGCTTTTTTTTTTTTTTAATCCCAGAGACAACTGTTGTGGATAACCTGCTGGTAATCCACACACGTGGAGTAGAACACAAGTGTCCGCGTGTCCTGCCTAGAAGTTATCTTTCTCAGAAGTGGCTGGTCAGCCAAGTATGTACTCACGGGCTCCAGCTGATTCAATCCTTTTCCTTCTTAAGTCTCCAGAGTGAAGTCTCCAAAGATGTCCCTTCCTAAGACCCCAGAGAAAATGCCTGTGTATGTTCAAGATGAAAAAGTCCTTGCTTATCACCCACAGGAGCTGGGAATGGGAGAAATCAACACTGTTGAAGTGTTGGAGTGTTGTATGAAAACTTTTTAACAATGTAAATTGTTACATTGTTACATGTAATAAATGATTTTGTCCTTAAGTGTTTCTAGGACACTTAAGAAAATTAGAAACACTTAAGAAAAGGACAAAATCATTTATTAACACCCAAAGATGTGGTTAAATTTCTTCCAGATTAGAAAAATATTTTAACCCTTTATCACTATAGGGTATTATTCTTTGTCTCTAGCAACGATTTTTGCCTTAAAATTTATTTGTCTGAGACAGACATGTGTTAGTATAACCACTAGCCCTCTTTTGACTACTGTTTGCATGGGGAATATTTTACCATCCTTTTATTTTCAAGGTATTTGAGTTTTTGAATTTAAAATGTGCGTCTTGGGTGGCGCCTGTGGTTCAGTGAGTAGGGTGCCAGCCCCATATACAGAGGGTGGCAGGTGCAAACCCAGCCCTGGCCAAACTACAACAACAACAAAAAATAGCTGGGTGTTGTGGTGGATGCCTGTAGTCCCAGCTACTCAGGAGGCAAGAGAATCGCCTAAGCCCAAGAGCTGGAGGTTGCTGTGAGCTGTGACACTACAGCACTCTACTGAGGACAGAGTGAGACTCTGTCCCCCTCCGCCCCCCTAAATGTGTGTCTTATAGATAGCATGAAGTTGATTTATTTTAAAAATCCATTCACCAAATCTTTGCTTTTAGTTGGAAGGCTTAATCCTTTTATATTCAGAGTAATTAATAATAAGGTAGGCTTACCAAATGATTTTTTTGTTTTCTATGTATTTAACATTTTTGTTCCTTAATTCTTCCATTTATTTCATGATACTCAGATATTTTCTAGTGTACCATTTTATTTCTTTTTTTCGTTAATATTTTGGGTTATTTTCTTCGCAGTCACCCTGGGAATTACAGTTCACATCATAATTTATAAAAACCCACATTAATACTATTTCAGTTTCACTAGTACACAAAAATGTAGGTACTGTATAGCTCCATCCCCTTTCTCATTTTAATATTGTCACAAATTACACTTTCACATATTGCCTTTCCCCTCAACATAGATTTACAAGTATTGGTTTATGCAC